TTGCTGGGAGGCAGCAGAGACAAGGTCATCTGCTTCAGTACATGAGTCACAGCCTTGGAACCTTACAAAGGTGACCACCGGGGAAATCAACTCTGTGACAGTGGGCTTTGCTTTACTTGGGTGTCAATACCACGGTGCCCTCATCTCCATAGCTTTAGAATAGATTTTGATAGCTGATAAGGCAAATCTCTTACTTTTTTCGTCCTTAAAATTATTTTTGCCATTCTTGTCAGAAGGGAATTCATTATATTCATCATCACAGGCAATTTTCACAAGACCCCCTAGAGCAGTGGTTCTCAACCTTCCTAATGCCACGACCCTTTAATACAGTTCCTCATGTTGTGGTGACCCCAACCATAAAATTCTTTTCTTTTTCTTTCTATTAAAAATAGTTTATTTTTAACACTTTCACTGACATGCAGTTCATATATCATACATTTCAATAGTTCGATCACATCCGTAAGAGGTGCACAACCATCATCACAATAAATTCCTGGACAATCGCTTCTCAGCTTTTGGCTAAGATCAAGTGTAATCAATTCCTGGCATGTCTTTTTGCCTGTACTCGTCATTGCTGAGATCCTCACTTCCTGCCAGCTTCCCCTGTCATGTCCCTTCGAATCTATTAATCAGTTTGCTGTCTCTACAGGTCCCTAATCTGGGCATCATGTACAGAAAGACAAACATGCTTATCTGGTTTTTCTTTGCATAAAAATATTTTCATTGCTACTTCATAACTGCAATTTTGCTACTGTTAGGAACCATCATGTAAATAGCTGATATGTAGGATGTATTTTCATCGTTACAAATTGAACATCATTAAAGCATAGTGATTCATCACAAAAACATTATGTCATTATACACTGTGAAATATTTATTTCTAATGATAAATAAATGACATTTTGTCTTGAAGTATGGCATGGGTAACAGTCTTCATGCTGGGTACTCGTATGTGGGCGGATCTGCATGTGGGCGGACCCGCCTGGAGACGGATAGAGGAGCAGTGTCTCGGTTCCTAAGACCATCGGAAATATCGGAAATATGTCTTAGGCGACCCCTGTGAAAGGGTCGTTTGACCCTCAAAGGGGTCGAGCCCCACAGGTTGAGAACCGCTGCTCTAGAAAGATTTGTGACTCTCCCAAGGTCACAAAGCCAGGAGGAATTGGAACTCAGGTCTGCGGAAGGCCGGAGCTCTTTCTCTGACTTCTGTAACTCTCTCTTCCCAACGTCTCAGGGGCGGCTTTCTAAGCATGGAGCATGGAATGCGGAGGGAAAGTATGTGGGCAAGGGAGGGAAGAAAGGCCTGGAATGGTCTGAATGTTGTCTTTAAGGAAACATTTTGCCCACCAAGAAATGGGACTTGGACGACAGGCTTGGAAACACTGGTTGCAGGGAGCCGGGCTGGTAGTCCATAGGCCTGTGGGCACTTCCGTTACTCTCAGGCAGGCCAGGGCAGTGTGGCAGCAGCTTGTAAGGGGGACCTGACAGCACTTTGCCAGATCCGACTTCAGGGCAGTGCAGTCCAGGCTCCCTGTCCCCTGACAGCCCCTCCCGGTCTGATTAGGGGCCCTAATCAGCTTGCGGAG